TTCTTCTTCTTCTTCTAATTCTTCTTCTTCTTCTTCTTCTTCTTCTTCTTCCTCCTTGTAGTAGAGACAGGGTCTCAATATATTGCCCAGGCTGGTCTCGAACTCCTGGCCTCAAGTGATCCTCCCACCTGAGCCTCCTAAAGTGCTGGGATTTACAGGCATAAGCCACTGTGCCTATCTTACCTTAATTTATGTGTCCAAGGATACAAATTTCCACAGCCTACTTCCTCCACTTTTTCTTCCAAGCCCAGATCTCTGCTCATTTACTTTTAGAGAACTGTCATTGCTGAAGAAGGGGGTGGTGTATAGACTAGGGAAGAAAATGTTAGTCTGGCTGCCTTAAAAAGCAGTGTCCAAGGTTAAGGGAGATAACTACAACATTTTCTGCAGAGGTTATGGCTTCTGTTTTTGAATTGGGGATAGATAGGGGATAGAGGGGAACTAAAGGTGGAGTAGGAATTGTTTGCACAGTTTCCCACGATATGGCTGCTGTGTTTAGCGGATGGTCCAGCTTACTGGTCACCTAGACTAGGATATGATTGATGCCCCCTGTGGTTGTGCAAGATGCAGACCCTCTTCCACAGTGGGCCTTTCTCTGCTTCTAGTGATGGTCACGTGATTGCATTTATCAACCCAGTTTCATTGACTTTGTAGATAGTGAGGATTTTGTTAGATTCTCACAATAGATCAAAAGCCAATTCTAATTTTTTGTAGTTTTAAGATTGCAACTTTTCCAGCTTCTTCATATGTTTTATTTGAGTTTAGGAAAGCCTATGCCATTTTGCCAACAAATTGATCCAAAATATTTAAAAAATCATATTACATGAAGCCATGTTTTTTCACCACTTTTAGATAGGAAGGAGATGGAGGCATTATGTAAGGTTGCGTAGGTCACATGCTGCACAACAGTTTCACTGTATGCAGCAGTCCTCAGCGCAGTAATGTTAAAGATAAGACATCTACCCTGCTTATAAAGACTTTTATGATTGTCATTGGCATCATAAAATTTTACAGGTGACAGACTGGAGTTTGGTTTTGTTTTAAAGGGATACCCTTTTCTTGTGATAAAATATATACAATATTTTATCACTTTAACCAGTTTTAAGTATCTAATCTGGTGGTATTATATACATTCTCAATTTTGTATAATTATTGCCACTATCTATACGTGAAACTCTTTTATCATCACCAACAGAAACTCTGCTCATTAAACAATAATTCCTTATCCCCCCCAATCCCAGCGCCTAGTAACCTCTATTCTGCTTTCTGTCTCTATGAATTTGCTTATTCCAGGTACCTCATACAGTGGAATCATGCAATATTGTCCTGTGTCTGGCTTATTTCACTAAGCATAATGGTCTTCTCATATTGCAGCATATTTCAAAATTTCATTTCTTTGCTGGCTGAATATTATTTCATGGTATGTATATACCGTATTTTGTTGTTGCTTCATCTGTTGAAGGACATTTGGATTGTTTCTGCTTTTTGACTGTTGTGAACGATGCTGCTATGAACACTGGTATATGAATATACGTCCAAGTCTCCAATTTCAATTTTTTTATATATATACTCAGGAGCGGAATTGCTGAGGCATATGGTAATTCTGTGTTTAACTTTTGAGCAATCACCAAATTGTTTTCTGCCATAGCTGTACCGCAGCAGCATTTCCACCAGCAATGCTCAAGGATTCCAATTGTACCTGCTCACCAACAATTGTTTTTTTTTCTTTAAAAAAATTAGTATTATTATTGCCATCCTCATAGACATAAAGTAGTATCTTATTACAGTGGAACTGGAGTTTTTATTAGACTATTGTCAAAATCTTAGGACTCGCATAACTATTTCTAACAGACTGGGGAAATGCTCATGGCTCCAGGATCCTGGTAAAGCAGGACTCAGGAAATAGAATATCTACAAGCAAATTTTAAAGTGTCTGATGATGGATGAGTGGTGCATGGATGGGGGATGCTGGAGGTGTGGTATCCTCTGGGCTAGCTAACCCTGAATACATTTTATGAGCCGCACGTAGTACTAGCCTAAGAATCTTACAGCTGAAATGGGGCAGCCCCTAACAAACTGGCTGAGAGCTGCCCCCAGCTTCATTCCTCTTCCCATGGCTCAATTTCACAAATGTATGCAACCGCCTTGGCATGAAAAAGAGAGAGTTTCTTCTCTGGGGTCTCCATGTATGCCTCAAGGAAAAATTGCACATATTGTCAGTGATTATGGGGACTAAGAAGCTAAGATAAGAATAAAAAGGCATGTAATTACCCAAGTGTATTCATTGGGATACATATATGGCTGCTCTAAAAAAAGGGCCAAAATAACAGACACCAGCTATTGGCCTAGAAATCATTTATATAAATGCCATTGAGCTGCAGCTCTGAGAAGGTTCAGTATCCAGATGGACAGCAAATGGAGCCAATGACCATCTTCCCAACCCATTCTATTGGAAAGCACAGGTCAGGATAGGTGTTCCTTTATTTGACAATGAAACCTTAGAGGGGAAAAGAAAGACACATAAAGCCTAGGCAAAGTATATTATCAAAGAAGAAAAATGTAATGTCATCCTGAAGACACTGAGGATCTTTGAAAGTGATTTGCTACTGGAATCAGAGGAACATTTTAGAGACTCACTGAGCATCCTCAACAGGGTGCAAAGGAACTCAACGAAACAAGAGCAGAAAAGCACACGGGGAAAAATGGGCCAAGATTAAAAGTGACAATGGAAATAGTAAATAGGCACAACTCATGGAAAATAATGACAGAGCAACTTTATTTCAGTCTGTTGTTGTCAGTTTTCCTCATTTTATTTTTTTGACATGAAAAATTTTAGCACATACAGAAGGAGAATAGTATAATAAGCTCCCATATCCCCATCAGCTGGCTTTAACGGATTTCAACTTACCACCAATGTGGTTTCCTCTGAACCCTCACCCACTCCCCTG